ATACAAAACACGGCCTAGTGTCCTAGCGTTACAATACAAAACACGGCCTAGTGTCCTAGCGTTACAATACAAAACACGGCCTAGTATCCTAGCGTTACAATACAAAACACGGCCTAGTGTCCTAGCGTTACAATACAAAACACGGCCTAGTATCCTAGCGTTACAATACAAAACACGGCCTAGTGTCCTAGCGTTACAATACAAAACACGGCCTAGTGTCCTAGCGTTACAATACAAAACACGGCCTAATGTCCTAGCGTTACAATACAAAACACGGCCTAGTGTCCTAGCGTTACAATACAAAACACGGCCTAGTGTCCTAGTGTTACAATGCAAAACACGGCCTAGTGTCCTAGCGTTACAATACAAAACACAGCCTAGTGTCCTAACGTTACAATACAAAACACGGCCTAGTGTCCTAGCGTTACAATACAAAACACGGCCTAGTGTCCTAGCGTTACAATACAAAACACGGCCTAGTGTCCTAGCGTTACAATACAAAACACGGCCTAGTGTCCTAGCGTTACAATACAAAACACAGCCTAGTGTCCTAGCGTTACAATACAAAACACGGCCTAGTGTCTTAGCGTTACAATACAAAACACGGCCTAGAGCCCTAGCGTTACAATAAAAAACACAGCCTAGTGTCCTAGCGTTACAATACAAAACACGGCCTAGTGTCCTAGCGTTACAATACAAAACACGACATAGTGTCCTAGCGTTACAATACAAAACACGGCCTAATGTCCTAGCGTTACAATACAAAACACGGCATAGTGTCCTAGCGTTACATTACAAAACACGGCCTAGTGTCCTATAGCGTTACATTACAAAACACGACATAGTGTCCTAGCGTTACAATACAAAACACGGCCTAGTGTCCTAGCGTTACAATACAAAACACGGCCTAGTGTCCTAGCGTTACATTACAAAACACGGCCTAGAGCCCTAGCGTTACAATAAAAAACACAGCCTAGTGTCCTAGCGTTACAATACAAAACACGGCCTAGTGTCCTAGCGTTACATTACAAAACACAGCCTAGTGTCCTATAGCGTTACATTACAAAACACGGCCTAGTGTCCTAGCGTTACATTACAAAACACGGCCTAGTGTCCTAGCGTTACAATACAAAACACGGCCTAGTGTCCTAGCGTTACAATACAAAACACGGCCTAATGTCCTAGCGTTACAATACAAAACACGGCCTAGTGTCCTAGCGTTACAATACAAAACACGGCCTAGTGTCCTAGCGTTACAATACAAAACACGGCCTAGTATCCTAGCGTTACAATACAAAACACGGCCTAGTGTCCTAGCGTTACAATACAAAACACGGCCTAGTATCCTAGCGTTACAATACAAAACACGGCCTAGTGTCCTAGCGTTACAATACAAAACACGGCCTAGTGTCCTAGCGTTACAATACAAAACACGGCCTAATGTCCTAGCGTTACAATACAAAACACGGCCTAGTGTCCTAGCGTTACAATACAAAACACGGCCTAGTGTCCTAGTGTTACAATGCAAAACACGGCCTAGTGTCCTAGCGTTACAATACAAAACACAGCCTAGTGTCCTAACGTTACAATACAAAACACGGCCTAGTGTCCTAGCGTTACAATACAAAACACGGCCTAGTGTCCTAGCGTTACAATACAAAACACGGCCTAGTGTCCTAGCGTTACAATACAAAACACGGCCTAGTGTCCTAGCGTTACAATACAAAACACAGCCTAGTGTCCTAGCGTTACAATACAAAACACGGCCTAGTGTCTTAGCGTTACAATACAAAACACGGCCTAGAGCCCTAGCGTTACAATAAAAAACACAGCCTAGTGTCCTAGCGTTACAATACAAAACACGGCCTAGTGTCCTAGCGTTACAATACAAAACACGACATAGTGTCCTAGCGTTACAATACAAAACACGGCCTAATGTCCTAGCGTTACAATACAAAACACGGCATAGTGTCCTAGCGTTACATTACAAAACACGGCCTAGTGTCCTATAGCGTTACATTACAAAACACGACATAGTGTCCTAGCGTTACAATACAAAACACGGCCTAGTGTCCTAGCGTTACAATACAAAACACGGCCTAGTGTCCTAGCGTTACATTACAAAACACGGCCTAGAGCCCTAGCGTTACAATAAAAAACACAGCCTAGTGTCCTAGCGTTACAATACAAAACACGGCCTAGTGTCCTAGCGTTACAATACAAAACACGACATAGTGTCCTAGCGTTACAATACAAAACACGGCCTAATGTCCTAGCGTTACAATACAAAACACGGCATAGTGTCCTAGCGTTACAATACAAAACACGGCCTAGTATCCTAGCGTTACAATACAAAACACGGCCTAGTGTCCTAGCGTTACAATACAAAACACGGCCTAGTGTCCTAGCGTTACAATGCAAAACACGGCCTAGTGTCCTAGCGTTACATTACAAAACACAGCCTAGTGTCCTATAGCGTTACATTACAAAACACGGCCTAGTGTCCTAGCGTTACATTACAAAACACGGCCTAGTGTCCTAGCGTTACAATACAAAACACGGCCTAGTGTCCTAGCGTTACAATACAAAATTCGGCCGGGATAACAGTGTCTATTCATAGTTTTCAACGGTATATTTATTTGTATATTTTCAAGGGTAGGAAGCCTTTCAGCTTGATATGACGCTGGATTGTTCCTACCTTGCTCCTTCGTAAATATATCACATGCCGTGGTTTTGGTACTTGATTTTAACTTTTTGAGTATGGTCAATAACAGGATAATCAAATTTAGTTTATCAAAGAATGAATTAGAAAGGGATGAAAGAAGTGTGAATTAGTCAGGAATGAAGGTTGAATTAGTCAGGAATGAAGGGTGAATTAGTCAGGAATGAAGGGTGAATTAGTCAGGAATGAAGGGTGAATTAGTCAGGAATGAAGGTTGAATTAGTCAGGAATGAAGGGTGAATTAGTCAGGAATAAAGGGTGAATTAGTCAGAAATGAAGGATGAATTAGTCAGGGATGAAGGGTGAATTAGTCAGGAATGAAGGGTGAATTAGTCAGGAATGAAGGGTGAATTAGTCAGGAATGAAAGGTGAATTAGTCAGGAATGAAAGGTGAATTAGTCAGGAATGAAGGGTGAATTAGTCAGGAATGAAAAGTGAATTAGTCAGGAATGAAGGGTGAATTAGTCAGGAATGAAGGGTGAATTAGTCAGGAATGAAAGTTGAATTAGTCAGGAATGAAGGGTGAATTAGTCAGGAATGAAGGGTAAATTAGTCAGGAATGAAGGGTGAATTAGTCAGGAATGAAGGTGAATTAGTCAGGAATGAAAGGTGAATTAGTCAGGAATGAAGGGTGAATTAGTCAGAAATGAAAGGTGAATTAGTCAGGAATGAAGAGTGAATTAGTAAGGAATGAAGGGTGAATTAGTCAGGAATAAAGGGTGAATTAGTCAGGAATGAAGGTGAATTAGTCAGGAATGAAAGGTGAATTAGTCAGGAATGAATTGTGAATTAGTCAGGAATGAAAGGTGAATTAGTCAGAATAGAAGGGTGAATTAGTCAGGAATGAAGGTTGAATTAGTCAGGAATGAAGGGTGAATTAGTCAGGAATGAAGGGTGAATTAGTCAGGAATGGAAGGTGAATTAGTCAGGAATGAAGGGTGAATTAGTCAGGAATGAATTGTGAATTAGTCAGGAATGAAGGGTGAATTAGTCAGGAATGAAGGGTGAATTAGTCAGGATTGAAGGGTGAATTAGTCAGGAATGAAGGGTGAATTAGTCAGGAATGAAGGGTGAATTAGTCAGGAATGAAGGGTGAATTAGTCAGGAATGAATTGGCCGTTCTTCTGGTTCTGTTGGTATCTAATGTTAATTAAAATTGATCAATGGGAGTTGATGCTTTAGATCTTTAGCATCAAAACTTGTCTTCGTGTCAATTTTAAATCTTACTGCCTCGCCCATATTTTACAAGTACAACGCCTATTTCATGGTTTAAAGTTAAACTGTTTTACACGACAAATAGTTAGCAATGACCACATTCATATACCACATATGAAGCAAAATATGCACTGAAAGGCTTTTTATTAGACATAGTGACCGAAGACTAAATTTGAGCCTGGAGCTAAGCCAAAGATGGAAACTTTCGATGGAAGCAAGATAGACACTACAAGATTGATGCACGATAATCAAATTTGGCATATTAATCATGTTAATATACAATTTGTAAAGAATTTCATGCCCTAAATTATTTAGACATTAGGTGAAAACTGTTTTTCGCATCTAAATTCTGTACATATTTCTAAATAAAGTGCTCAATGATTTAAGTTGCCGAAACTAATGCAGCGTTTAAGGCTCTTTGCTGCATCATAACTGAAAATAGCCATCGTGAACATTCTGTACTTATCCAATATTTATCCTATACATATTTAATATTTGCTAAAACCTTCCAAAAATAGAATCGACTCCATCATGCTTCTTCCAGAAGTTGCAGCAAAATCCTGTCCTACGCCAAGCACAAAATTAGTTTCCGTCAACAAATCTAGAATCTTTACTGCTTCATAACTTGGGTCTCCGTCTAAAAATAACCATCGTGAACATTCTGTACTTATCCAATATTCGCTACAACCTTCCTAAGGTAAAATAGTTTCCATTATGCTTCTTTCAGAAGTTGGAAAATTCCTGCCCTATACGCCAAGCACAATGACAAAATTAGTTTCCGCGTCAATAAATCTAAACCGAAGCATTTTAATTTGAAGGTCTAATGCTTCATCATAAACTGTTCATCATCGCAAGCAATTTCTAGGAAATCATTCAAGGAAATTTACAAAAAAATGCCGAGGTATAAAAAATAAATCTATCGCGTAAGTGAAACCTAGGAAAGAACGACATTATATTTAGAAACCTTGATCAGCCGACGGATAGATTTCCATTCGTCCGCGAGAGTTGTATTGAAACAATTAACCGATAATAACACGATGATAACGCCACTTTCTCATTTCAGTTTCAAAACGAGCTCCCTAAAGGTGAGGACACCAAATCTAACATTCACGACGGAAGCGAGCAATGGTGCTTCGGCTAAACCAGGACATACCTTCCCGCGGGGTAAAACCTCAACCGGGGGAACTGTAAAGAAAAGATCAGGAAGTGTGAAGAAGAAAGCATCAGAATCAGAAGCGAACGGACTGAAGAAGGTGTCTCACAGTTATTGCGAGAAGATAGTGTACGACTCGGAAACCGGGGAGACAATATCAGACGGGGGCTACATCCTCAACCCTCCCAGACCCAGGTCAACGTCCATGTTCGATGCGGACAGTGAAATTACCGTCCCAATAATAGAGGACAGGGAGATGAACAGGATAATGGAGGCAAGGGAGGGGACGAGTGAGGGGACGAGGAGGGGCGAGAGGGAGAGGAGCGTTACATTGGACGAGGCTCTTCTACAGTTGGGGGAGAACTGCCCATACAAAGATTTGATCAGTTAAATTAAGATATGCCTGAACGGGTACTTGAACTTTGAGTGAATAATGTTCTGTGAATTGATGAATTGGGAGATTAAGTTAGGTAATGTTTTGGAGGTCCCGAGAAGATAGCTCGTGCATTGTTTGACGATTCATAGATATTCCCAATTTATAAGAATAATACGTACCTGGTAAAATTTATGCAATCTGCAGATTATGACGATTGCAGGTTGAAAATCTAGTTATAAAATCCAAGCATTAGTCGATGACAGTGAGGAATGATTTCAGTCGAAAGTAGAAAGCTTTCATTACGAAGAGTTGTTTTTGTATTCAGAGCAGATGACGACTGCATCTTGTTTATTAAACAAAGAAACAAATATTTTATAACACGTAAACATGACTTGACAATTTATCAATCCTTTTCGGCAGATTCTTAATTCTTTTAAGAATTTAACTTTTCGCAGACAATCAGACTGTAGATTTAAAATCTTAACATTCCTTAATTCAGTATGAGTAGATGATTTGAAAAGTGATTCTAGTCAAAAGTAGGACATTTGTATGACAAAGAGCTGTGTTGTTTTCAGAGCTTCTGAAGATTGTCTTGTTTGTTAAATAATTGTTTGAAAAACCGAATTAAGCAAACAACAAAGGTATTGTTTAACTTGTTTAGAATACGCCAAACTTTGGATGCTTAGAAGCTTAGATAATATAAATGCCACGCAATTGAGTTGCAATTTGGCCGACAAGCACAGCCGCCCTGCATTTTACTCAGTATTCTGTCTTTGCCATCCTATGTTTATTGTTGCACACACAATACGGACAAAGAAGCTAGATAACACTCAGTCACCATCACGCAAATGCTCAGTGACCTAATACGGTCTGATTACACCCCGAACCATTACCTCATTTGACACATGTAAAACACAAGTGTGTGTGAGGGGTAGTAGCTTTGTTGTATTACCTCATTTGACACATGTAAAACACAAGTGTGTGTGAGGGATATACTAGCTTTGTTGTATTACCTCATTTGACACATGTAAAACACAAGTGTGTGTGAGGTTTACTAGCTTTGTTGTATTACCTCATTTGACACATGTAAAACACAAGTGTGTGTGAGGGGTAGTAGCTTTTTTGCATTACCTCATTTGACACATGTCAAACACAAGTGTGTGTGAGGGGTAGTAGCTTTTTTGCATTACCTCATTTGACACAATATGTAAAACACAAGTGTGTGTGAGGGGTACTAGCTTTGTTGTATTACCTCATTTGACACATGTAAAACACAAGTGTGTGTGAGGGGTACTAGCTTTGTTGTATTACCTCATTTGACACAATATGTAAAACACAAGTGTGTGTGAGGGGTACTAGCTTTGTTGTATTACCTCATTTGACACATGTAAAACACAAGTGTGTGTGAAGGGTACTAGCTTTGTTGTATTACCTCATTTGACACATGTAAAACACAAGTGTGTGTGAAGGGTACTAGCTTTGTTGTATTACCTCATTTGACACATGTAAAACACAAGTGTGTGTGAGGGGTACTAGCTTTGTTGTATTACCTCATTTGACACATGTAAAACACAAGTGTGTGTGAGGGGTACTAGCTTTGTTGTATTACCTCATTTGACACATGTAAAACACAAGTGTGTGTGAGGGGTACTAGCTTTGTTGTATTACCTCATTTGACACAATATGTAAAACACAAGTGTGTGTGAGGGGTACTAGCTTTGTTGTATTACCTCATTTGACACATGTAAAACACAAGTGTGTGTGAGGGGTACTAGCTTTGTTGTATTACCTCATTTGACACATGTAAAACACAAGTGTACTGCATGTGAGGGGTACTAGCTTTGTTGAATTACCTCATTTGACACATGTAAAACACAAGTGTGTGTGAGGGGTACTAGCTTTGTTGTATTACCTCATTTGACACATGTAAAACACAAGTATGCGCGAGGGGTACTAGCTTTGTTGTATTACCTCATTTGACACACGTGTAAAACACAAGTGTGTGTGTGTGTGTGAGGGGTACTTAGTACTAGCTTTGTTGTATTACCTCATTTGACACATGTAAAACACAAGTATGCGCGAGGGGTACTAGCTTTGTTGTATTACCTCATTTGACACATGTAAAACACAAGTGTGTGTGAGGGGTACTAGCTTTGTTGTATTACCTCATTTGACACAATATGTAAAACACAAGTGTGTGTGAGGGGTACTAGCTTTGTTGTATTACCTCATTTGACACATGTAAAACACAAGTGTGTGTGAGGGGTACTAGCTTTGTTGTATTACCTCATTTGACACATGTAAAACACAAGTGTACTGCATGTGAGGGGTACTAGCTTTGTTGAATTACCTCATTTGACACATGTAAAACACAAGTGTGTGTGAGGGGTACTAGCTTTGTTGTATTACCTCATTTGACACAATATGTAAAACACAAGTGTGTGTGAAGGGTACTAGCTTTGTTGTATTACCTCATTTGACACATGTAAAACACAAGTGTGTGTGAGGGATACTAGCTTTGTTGTATTACCTCATTTGACACATGTAAAACACAAGTGTACTGTGTGAGGGGTACTAGCTTTGTTGTATTACCTCATTTGACACATGTAAAACACAAGTGTGTTTGAGGGGTACTAGCTTTGTTGTATTACCTCATTTGACACATGTAAAACACAAGTGTGTGTGAGGTTTACTAGCTTTGTTGTATTACCTCATTTGACACATGTAAAACACAAGTGTGTGTGAGGGGTACTAGCTTTGTTGTATTACCTCATTTGACACATGTAAAACAAAAGTGTGTGTGAGGGGTACTAGCTTTCTTGTATTATCTTGTCGGTTCTCACTTAAACTCACCCGACACAAGATCACTTTATAGCACCTTCAGAACGAGTACACTATTCTCACAAGCAATTCATGAGCTTTAGTTTTTGAGTCGCTGCTAACTTGTGAAAATCATCCATCAACGAAGTACATCCATGATCCAATTGCAGAGCGTAACACGAATAAAAAATATTTCTGTTCGGCTGGAATCACGTCTGCTGGACGATCAGTACGTCTTATTAATGTGCTTGTGTAAATGCTTGACAATTAAGCACACTGCTATAGAGCGATGTTTCATGTTCACATGTTACTAATGTTTGTTAAACAGGTGTTTTTCATTACTTTTAATTTGACCTGTTATTGTGTTTTCGTTACCACACACCAATAATTCTGTAAAGTTTTTCACTAATGGCAGCGGCCGAAAAATCGATTTGCGATAATAACCACAATTACAATGCGGTTTCACTTAGTTTAAACTTTGACATTTTAAACAATAAAATGATGGGCGGCTATAGATCATTCTACGAACACTCTATAAGTTATATGTAAGTTGAGTCCAGTGCATCATGCTGCTTGTATAACTTGACTGAGTCGCGAAGTTTGTTGATTTCACTTGTGTAGGAGTGCCTAACCGAGTATTGGAACATTGTTAAAATTCCAGTACACTTTTGATTTTGTACAATTTTAGTAGCGACCATATGTCTTCACCGCGTGATTCAAGCAGCTATTTTATCCTTTTATATATATCGTTTCATATTGGTGATTTATATCAGGAGTTGAGCTTAACTTTGGCACAGTCCTAACATTATCTACAGACATGGTACGGAGAAGTGGAGAAGCGGGCATCACGCTGCCTCCCACCAAGGATTGGCGAGCCCTCGAGCAGATCCGGTGGTCTAAACTTGAACGAGTGAGTAACCACAGTTACGCTACTAGTAACCATAGTTACTTTTACTGATATAACAACCCTGCATATTTCCTACTGCACCTTACTAGTGCTCTGCTCTTACATACTGAGATACTTATAATAGAAACCTGTCAGGATTCAGACTTCATTGCACCATAGGACAACTTCCTAATAGCTTCCTAAAAGTAAACGTTAAAGCATCCTAATTCTTACATGCAGTAACACTCTCAGCACTCAGATTCTTTACAACATTTCTGAGGAACTTACCAGTAGAACTGGGCTTTATTTTATTCCATGTACTTGAGAGAGATGTCCTTATATTCGATTTATTTAATAAGTGTACTTAACAAAGAAATAAGTGCTTATATTATGTACTGTAGATAGTAGTGTGGATTGTTTGAGAAGAATTAACATGTAGGAACAGAATGATGATCTAATCTGTCTTTAACTTCAGGATAATGAGATGTTTAAGAAAATACAAAGACACAGATACATGAATATAATCAGAAGTATTCAACTTGAAAAGAGTATTAAAATCAAACACTACAGCAGGATAGAGGAGAAACTCAACCTAAAAATGGAGAGACTTGCTAAGGTTTGTCTATAAAACCAAAAGTACCTCGAATAAAACAGTTTTTATATGGATAAACGGGACCCACATGAGCTAGAGGAAGATCCCATATTTGGGTAATCAAGATGGCCCAAAATAAAACTGTTGTTTTGTTGCTGTTTTGAAAATAAGGCATATTATTTGTCTGAACTTTAATCAGATTTTAAACGGTTGATATACTGTCAGGTGAAGCAGCTGTACAACATACCAATGCAGGAGAGCTGCACGATACACCGCAAGGCTAAGTCATGTCCGCTGGTCAAAAGAGAACGTCTCCCCAGCCTAGAATCCTCGTCTCGCACCTCTATCTCCACCCCCACTACTCACTCCCCCGAGATTAAATCTATAAAGAACGAGGAACCCGAGCCCCCGGTGGAGACACTGGATGACACCTCGGTTAAAAGGCCGCCCTCAATGGCCAAACTGGCAGTAATGGTCCAGAACTTTCTAGAACCCCTGTGCCCGGTGCGGTCCAGTATGGTTGGTAAACAGTACCAGGATAGAGTGCGGCTAACTAAGTCCCTGTCAATGCAGCCCGCAGTTAAAAGGGAGGCTCCACAAGTCGAGACCCCCAGCTATAAGAGTAAGGACAATCAAGCTGTATTCAGACAAAAGTCCTTCTATCTGACCACGTGATGGTCAGTGGTCACGTGGGCACCTTTCTAGGAGCTGCTCCAATTCTCCTCTTGAGAAGATTTTTAGACTTTCAAACGGCTCCCTCCCGCGCCCCCGACCTGATCGGTGGTGGAGTTCCAGAATCTTTTGTAAACACTTTATATCTGGCGGAGGGCAGTTTCGTTTTGTGCTATGATATATAGTTGGAGGGACGTCCTACAAGGTCAGGCCAGCTACCATTGCACATGCACACCCCTCCACCCTGGAGAGGTGGTGACAGAGAGCAGTGCTGCAGCTTCAACAACGGAGCCTGTTTTAATCGCACTTCTCATTTTCTCTATAACAATGTTTGCCCGTTTTACCATCTTAATTATCGTTTAACATGCGTTCTTACAAAATATTTCAAGGATTATATTATTTCCACAAAAATTTGTAAGCTGCATTTTATTTGTCTTTATGAAAAACTTGTGTTACGTATCGAACAGCGCGTAAAAACATATCGCATATTAACAATTAGAATAGGGTCAGGAAACTCGGTTCAAGAAATTGTTCTGTTGACAGTAAAGTAAACCGATTAGACTTAGCAACCCCTGTCTGGAGCAAGGTACTTGTCAGTGAGCCCGGTTATACTTCTGTAGAAGTGTTTCTTTAGTTGTGTAGGGGGTTCAGAGGGGGATATGGGGGTGAACCCCTTTAAGTCTGAAGGGAGAGCCCTGTTTCTCTCTCTCTCTCTCTCTCTCTCTCTCTCTCTCTCTCTCTCTCTCTCTCTCTCTCTCTCTCTCTCTCTCTCTCTCTCTCTCTCTCTCTCTCTCTCTCTCTCTCTCTCTCTCTCTCTCTCTCTCTCTCTCTCTCTCTCTCTCTCTCTCTCTCTCTCTCTCTCTCTCTCTCTCTCTCACCCTCTCTCTGTTGCACACCTATTCTTGGCCGGTAATGTAAGACTATGCCATATTAGGAGCTTGCTCCAAATCCTGCAAATCCTATAAGCGTTGTCAACAGCTAATAATCCGGCTCTTGACATGCGCCACGTGACCATGGTGATGGTGGTCACGTGACGGTGGTCACGGAATCCGGCGACCAATCAGAGGGGAGGGATTTCTGGAGCTGTCCAATAGAGCGAAGGGCACGTTTTTACCCATCTCTCAACACCACAACAAACTGTACACAAATTTCATCCAACTGGGTTTCGCTGAACCGAACACATGACTTCTTCAACATAAAGTGTTGAGTTAACGTATTTTGAATGTGTCGAATGGAATTCGTCTAATCAGACTTTTAGGAATTTTGGTACACTCTCTCGCAGTTGCTCTAGCAGGCCTTTAGTGCTGCACGATTCTTCTTCACCAGCATCCACACCGCCTGCCCGCGCACTCTACTTCTACTTCCGCTCCTTTATCAAATTATTTGACAGTTTAATGAAAAGCTTAATCTGTTTAGTTTTGAGAACGCCTGTCACCGATTTAATGTCTTAATAAATTTTTTTCAATTTTTCTCCATCTTTAGGACACATATTAACATTTAACTACAAATTGCAACATTTCAGCCTAAGGATGCCTCGTGTTGTTGGTGGTAAATATGACTGTCGTATATTTTTTATATTTTCAGAATAACAATTTAAATTTACTACAATAACTTTTCACATCCCAGAAGCAAAATGCCTCGAGGAAAGGTAGGAGGCAAATATGACCGTCGTATGTCTTTCGATGATGTCAAGGACGAGCGTATGTTGGTGATGGTGGACAAGCTGTGCGTGTGGATGGGAGGAATCCTTGGAGAGACCCTTAACAGAGAAAACCTCATCCCTCAAATCAGGTATGTTATGAAAAATCAAAAAAGGGAACTTATCGTGTGAAAGTGATAAAAATGTATGTTAATTTATGAAGCTAGGAAAATAGACCGGGTAAGATATAAGATAACCAAATAAGATAGGTAAAATACCTAAAGTTCCAAAAAAATTGAACAACCATCTCGCCCAAATTTTTCGTATACAAATTCATGGCAAATAAATTAAATTAATGGCAAATGAATAAAATGAATGGCAAATGAACATTTGTTCAATAATTTATTCCAATTTGTTTCAAATCTCCCTCAAAAATTTGTGATATTCAAATTGATCGAGACTAAAATTTTGGCACAAACATTTTAGAAACTAAGGTCTTCCTACCAACCTTAGTCGAGACACATTGTATCTTCCTACCTACATTAGTTACTTACTTGGGTTACTTGGGTTGGGTTCCGAGCTAGAGTGCTACCAGGCCAGTAGAGACACATTATATTTTCCTACTAGGAAAATACGATTTGTCTCGAGTAAGGCAAGTAGGAAGATACAATGTGTATCAACTAAGGTAGGTAGGAAGATACAATGTGTCTCAACTAAGGTAGATAAGAAAATACAATGTGTCTCGACTAAGGTAGATAAGAAAATACAATATGTCTCAACTAAGGTAGATAAGAAAATACAATATGTCTCAACTAAGGTAGATAAGAAAATACAATGTGTCTCAACTAAGGTAAGTAGGAAGATACAATGTGTCTCGAGTAAGGTAAGTAGGAAGATACAATGTGTCTCGAGTAAGGTAGGAGGAAGATACAATGTGTCTCGAGTAAGGTAGGTAGGAAGATACAATGTGTCTCGAGTAAGGTAGGTAGGAAGATACAATGTGTCTCGACTAAGGTAGGTAGGAAGATACAATGTGTCTCGAGTAAGGTAGGTAGAAAGGTATGCAGTATAACTGAGATATACCCCCTATCCAGGAACGGAGGACCCCTCTGCAGACTGAGTGAATGCATCCAAGCGAGTGTAGATGACTTCAAGGCTGCCAACGAGGATAACGACGATTTGCCCAGCGCCTCCCCCCAGGTCAGCAATCATCCCCCTTTAATTATCTTTGTAAATTCATTCTTATTTATTATTATAACATAGGACGGTTATCAAAAGCGGGTATTTTGTACAGAGTGCAGTTGCTCTGATTTTATGCGGTACCGCGGTCTATCGAAGAGTCTCGAATTAAGTCTAGAATATATGCTTTCTTTGAGTCATGTGGATGCGATCTTAATGAGGTAACTGGTGAACTTGCATGTAAATATAACACTCTCAGAGTGAAGAATGGCCTTAAAGTTAAAGCCTTCCTGCGAGAAACCTTAGAATCTTACAATGGAATGAATGCAATTCTTGCTAGCCTTCGTCACAAGGGGATGTAAGAGAATGCAGGGTTATTGTTTTTACTGTTACTGTTACAGTTACAGTTACAGGTCTTACAGCCCATGCCTCTCTGTTTAGGATTACCTTGTACCTTCATGAAACACACACATGCTACACGAATAGGTCTCTTCCTAGTCGTTCATAAAACAGAGCAACTACTAGTAAGTACACATAACATATAGATTTAACTCTTGTTTACAAGAACCAGGACCGCTCATATCATAAGACGCCGACAAAAAGGATGAATATAAATTATGTTATAGCATGGCTTCTATAAGTCTTAGAGGTGTCCGTTAGCTCTATACGTTAGCTTTAATGGCTGTGCGAATATAATTCAACAACCCTGCTGTTGAACAATGTGAATCACAGCGGATAGTCGATACCGTAAAACAACTCTAATTAGTAAGGGAGTCCACATGCCGACATCCAAACCAGAAACCTCAAACTATCCCAGTTTTTAGCATGGCAACTCAGCTCCCTTCTCACTCTCAGCCTAGAATTTTCTGTTCTTTTCTTTTTTGTTTCTGCCGAGTAGAACACATTAATATTTTGCAGTTTTTCGGCAAATGTCAAATTCTTATACAATTTGACACTGTTGAATAATCAATAATAATTCTGCAACTTCGAATGTGGCTCTTCAAATTTGAAGCCATAAATTACATCCAAATATTAATATAATAACATCTACTAGCTTAAATTGTCAAATTAATTGGCCAAGTTTCGCAATTTAAAGCAAATTATGTCAGCTTACAACTTCATGATCTAACAGACAATTGCGCTAAGTTAAGGCTGCCCACTTTGCAATTTGTCCGAACTGCAACCTGCATTTTATTTCTCCATTCCACAGAACTGCAGAAAATACCACATTGGCAGTATCCGGGCCGGTAAGGCTATTCTATGGTGTTAGGAATTGGAGACTGTCAGCTACAAAGGCCGCAAGAGACAGTCGTGTTAAAAACTATGGTTTTGTCAGCTTGACAGCATACTGCTTATATCGCCCGCTGCTTTTCCGTTAAATTTCAAAATTCTTTAGGATGTCTAACACTGATATGAATATTATAAGTTGTTCTCAGCCCTCCCCTCAATAGAGATTTGCATAAAATATGTCTTACATATTCTCCTCCGCAATCCCTTCTGGAAGGCTGTGATAGTATTCCTGAGCAGTGAGCACCTGCAGTATGTTCGGACAGTTAGAATGTGCAGTCTGTCGGGAGCTGTTGAAAGCTCTGCCGTCCTCCGCAGTACTTTCGCGCATCGTGAAATGCGTGCGGAGTGGTACTAGTGCACATCTCCACTTCTACTTATCAACTTTACTTCGCGGATTTGCCTTTCAAAAAGTGGACTCAAGTTTCACAATTTCCAAACAGTCTGAGAACAAGGTCTGACAGGTAATTCCCAGACGTTGAAGCCAGGCTATATTAAGTGTAACACAGGATACCGCATAAGCGGCTCAAACTGCACAGACACAGCACAGACGGAGAATTACTAATTGGCACACAGGAGTTTAGAATATATGAGGAGCTGTCAACGTCGTGGAATGAGCAAGAAATGTGTACCAGCTGTACCTATCGTATCTAACTTATCGGACCTTATATGAACGGACATTAATTGAACGCTGGAGGCCCTTATAGCGTTCATCTTAATGTCCGTTCAAATAATGTCCGTCCGTTTAAGGTCCGTCCAATTAAAGTCCGTTGAATTTGTTTCAAAAATTATTCCACTGCGAACTTATTGTCCAGGATATGACAACTTTTTAATTTCAGCTAATTTCAATTTCTATCATCGGACAAAACTATATCATTCGATCAATGAAAAACAAGTTATTATAAAATTTAGATATCATAAATATCATATTATGGCACTTCTGCACTTTCTTGATCTATAACGGTCCCTCGTTCATTTCTTCGGAGTTACTATCAATCTACCTCCACATCTTCTAGTTCTAGATCTCTTACAACTGGTTGTTTATCCAACTCGTAGTTGCACTTGTACCGGGTAATGAACGATATCATTATCAACTGCTCTACCAGAGATACTAGAATGTGAGCGTTTATTTTAATGTCCGTTCAACATTATGTCCGTTCACATAAGGTCCGTTCAAATAAGGTCCGATATAGTATTTATTTTATACTCTATTTTATTGATTAAAATAGCCGTGTGGCAGCTTGCCAGGACCCACTAGTTCCAGTGAATAGCCATTATACTGAGATACCATGCGCCAAGGATCAGTGATTCTAGAGGGAAACCTCCCAAATGGTATTTGCCAAAGTTCAAACCTTACAATACTCAGAAAGGATTAAAGATGCCATAAAATGAAAAATATTCTTTATAGCATTCAGCTTCTGAAAGAAAACGATTATTGAAAATTTGAATTCCTAGTTTTATAATTCTTATAAAACTAGGAATTCAAAGTCTCAATATTTGTCATTCATAATTATTCGTTAATTATTAATAAGTCCTTTTCATTTGACAGGGTGTAAATCTGACGTGCGGTGTAAGGTAACTAGTAGTGTAACTATGGTAACTAGTAGTGTAACTATGGTAACTAACTTTTCATTTGACAGGGTGTAAATCTGACGTGCGGTGTAAGGTAACTAGTTAGGGTGTAAATCTGACGTGCGGTGTAAGAACTAGTAGTGTAACTATGGTAACTAGTAGTGTAACTATGGTAACTAACTTTTCATTTGACAGGGTGTAAATCTGACGTGCGGTGTAAGGTAACTAGTAGTGTAACTATGGTAACTAGTAGTGTAACTATGGTAACTAACTTTTCATTTGACAGGGTGTAAATCTGACGTGCGGTGTAAGGTCGATGGAAGCTAGACAGAACGTTACCAAGTTTCTCGACTGGTGCAGGCAAATGAGGGTTCCCGAATCCTCCATCTTCCTCCCCGACGATCTCCTCAAGCTCAAGGTTAGCAAATTATTCTAATTTTATTCTAATAAATCACACTAACTGGACAAATAGTACCACTCCTCCCCTTCTTCCATAATTCCACCAAATGGTACCTGACAAAGCATATTATAGCCTGCACAAAAATTCGACGGTCTAGAAAAAGTTGTTGACACACTAATTGTAGGAACATATCCGATTGCATTAACACCTGGATTTTGGGCGGGCCATGTGGTAGGTACAACTTGAATCATGGACACATCTCCCGAGCGGTGTCTATAAGCTTGTTGCTAGGGGTTGCTAGGGGTTGTCCGGATATATGTTGCTAGGGGTTGTCCGGATATATGTGAGATGATTACACTCTGAATAGTTACACCACCTGGGACAGCCCTGCACGGTCTTCCGCTCTTCATTCCATATGTTTAATTGCTGGATGGTATGCTGGCTAGAGTGTAACTCACCAAGAACCAGGCAGTCATGGCTTCAGCTCACTGACGAAAGTTACACATCCACAAATACAAATATCCATGTGCATAGAGTTCTAGTAGGCTTGTCTCTAACTTTTAAGTGCTTAGTCGCATACTTTACATTGCACGCCATCCAGAGGTCCTATCTCAATCTGTTCCAACCTCTGTACAATACAAGTAACCAGCTATAGTAACCAGCTATGGTAACCAGCTATAGTAACCAGCTATAGTAACCAGCTAGTAACCAGCTAGTAACCAGCTAGTAACCAGCTAGTAACCAGCTAGTAACCAGCTAGTAACCAGCTATAGTAACCAGCTAGTAACCAGCTAGTAACCAGCTAGTAACCAGCTAGTAACCAGCTAGTAACCAGCTAGTAACCAGCTAGTAACCAGCTAGTAACCAGCTAGTAACCAGCTAGTAACCAGCTAGTACCCAGCTAGTAACCAGCTAGTACCCAGCTAGTAACCAGCTAGTAACCAGCTAGTAAACCAACTTGCTAGACTGAGCACAGCGTTTGGGACCATGGTTAGAGCTTCACACAACCCCCTCAAATTCCCCTTGCCCCTATTTTGGGACAAACTTTAGGCACACAAGTTATTTCGTTGGTAAACGGCTATACTAATCAAATCTTTCTTCCATCAACAATCAACACGCAAAATTTAGGATTAGCAGGGATTAATTAGGGCTTAATTCCACCTTCCTCACCATCAGCAAACTCTAGCAATTCCAAACCCTCTCCTATAAAGCTGGTAAAAAAATATGTTAATCCTTAAAGTTAGCTGAAAACCTCCCAACTTTCAGGGAAAAATGAAGGTAGTGAACACCATACTGGCAGTTGCTAGGAGAGCAAAGGACTGTGGAATGGCTGCTGATATTGATGCGCCACCAAAGATTGCCAATGCCTTCATTGGATTAGAAGAGAAGTTCGGCAAGAAGTTCGACCATACATCCAAGGTACGTCTTAAATTATCTTTTAATCAAGATTTTGACAGGGGACAAGTTCGTTATTGCTTCGCAACATTTTGCTTATACTAAAAACTTTGACTTTTCTATGAGTGATGAGTTATGAGAACAAGTTTTGAAACCAAAATCTTGCCAGGCTTTCGGAACCCAGAAGAGTGAACTGAAGACAGTGAAAACCACCCTGGTGTCCGGCTCCGCATGGAAGATCGTTCAACAGAAGATTGACACCATCCTCCAACTCCCCGGCAAACCTTCCTACGAAATCTTCCGAGTCTAATATGAGAGTCTGTAGCTCCAAACAAATAATACTCTTGCGCGCCGCTGAAGAGTAACGTGGGTGTTCTTTTAGTGTATAAATTAGCAAGATGAGCTCTCCAGGGTCGACAACCTCTTATAGTTATAGGATGCAACAAACTGTCATTAGCCTTCTGTACATATCATCATATAGAAACTTTTATATTGGACCGGTTTATAGCCCACTTGATTGATGAAGTGGCAGAAATTCTTGTAAAAATTTTCCGTCTGCACATTTCCGAGATCCAATTTACTATCGCGGGGCTATAGCTAGAGTGGTCTTTATTTCTGACAAATTTTTGACTTCTGAGCATAACGTTAATATTTGTGTGATTGTTTATATTAAAGTATGTAAATTCTGAATCGGGAAAGTTTAGATTATGGCTTAAACCGATATATAATGGAGTTATTTCATTGAGTTTAAGAGTCTCGTGCAAAAATCGACTAATTCCTTTATCATTTATATTACTCAGAAATATATTACTCAGAAATATATTACTCAGAAATATATTACTCAGAAATATATTACTCAGAAATATAGCAAAGACGGACGGTAAATATATTATGTTACTGAAGTTGGCTAAAAGACATTAGCCTTGTCAGACCTTATTAGATAAAGTAAATGAACTATTAGAAAATTGATGACAGTGGAGTACCCCGTAAGTAAGCCTACTTCTTTGAGCACAACCTATTAAATGTTGGTATGTTGTCGGAGTGCGCGATAGTTTGTTGAAATACACGTTAAAAATACAAAAAGCTATCAATAATTCTAACGGTTGTCCAAGGCCCGAATTAGTACATAGTAATTAGATTTATCGAGTGGAATGCCTTGTCAATTTGCGGCTGTTGAAAAGTACGTTACAAGAAACACCTTTAAAAAATAAACTGTAAACAGCTAACATTTCTCAGCTTAGTTTATGGTTGCCGGGTAGGTTGGTTGCAGTGAGATGCGAGCTATTTATTATTTGCTGAAAGCAATTTGTTCAAAGGTAAACCATGACCGGGCCGTTGATAACCTAAGTATTAGACATCTTACCCTTCATGAGCAGATTAGAATGATATGTAAGACTTGAGGCGCCTGCCAGTGCCATTTTTATAAATATAATAAATAATCAGACTTGGATGTTAAACATTGGTATTGATAAGACTGAAGACACTGCTCAATCTATATAGACCATTTTTAGAGTCACCCAATCCTTTGTACTTCATATATGTGGCCACATAAGTTATATATTTGCAAATATTATAAGCAAATTCGACAACAAAACCCAGCTTTTAGAGGCAGAGTAAGAAATAGCAACTACTAAAAAATAAATAAAAAGTTCTCCCAAATTCACCACTACTCCCATTTGGTGGCACATTATTTTAGGAGCCCTGGAATTTGTTAAACTGCTCACACGAAGTGAAGACATCCGACCATGTGTTAGCGGTATTTGGTTTCCACAGAAACGGAAGCTAGCGGCAGAAGGCCATGATGACAGATCACACTAAGTCTAACTCAGCAATCCGCACATTTCACAGATTTTAAGGTACACATCTCCCCACCTCTCTCAGCTCTCCAGTCTTTCTTGCTTCAAACTTCTTGTGTGCCTAGTAATCAGCTCTCCAGTCTTTCTTGCTTCAAACTTCTTGTGTACCTAGTAATCAGCTCTCCATTTTTTTTGCTTAAAACTTCTTGTGTGCCTAGTAATCCAGCTCTCAAGTCTTTCTTGCTTCAAACTTCTTGTGTGCCTAGTAATCAACTCTCCAGTCTTTCTTGCTTCAAACTTCTTGTGTGCCTAGTAATCCAGCTCTCCAGTCTTTCTTGCTTCAAACTTCTTATGTGCCTAGTAATCAGCTCTCCAGTCTTTCTTGCTTCAAACTTCTTGTGTACCTAGTAATCAGCTCTCCATTTTTTTTGCTTAAAACTTCTTGTGTGCCTAGTAATCCAGCTCTCAAGTCTTTCTTGCTTCAAACTTCTTGTGTGCCTAGTAATCAACTCTCCAGTCTTTCTTGCTTCAAACTTCTTGTGTGCCTAGTAATCCAGCTCTCCAGTCTTTCTTGCTTCAAACTTCTTATGTGCCTAGTAATCCAGCTCTCCAGTCTTTCTTGCTTAAAACTTCTTGTGTGCCTAGTAATCCAGCTCTCCAGTCTTTCTTGCTTAAAACTTCTTGTGAGCCTAGTAATCAAGCTCTCCAGTCTTTCTTGCTTAAAACTTCTTGTGTGCCTAGTAATCCAGCTCCTCAGTTTTTCTTGCTTAAAACTTCTTGTGAGCCTAGTAATCAGCTCTCCATTTTTCTTGCTTAAAACTTCTTTTGTGCCTAATAATCAGCTCTCAAGTCTTTCTTGCTTAAAACTTCTTGTGTGCCTAGTAATCCAGCTCCCCAGTTTTAGAAATCCAGCTTGGGCGGCCGGTGCTCGGAAACGCAGAATTAGTTTATGGCGGCAGTGTACAGCCGGTGTGCTCTTCCTCTCCCGTACTGACATCAGCTCAACTGTGCTGCTATTGGTCGGGGCCAGTAATGTATTAATCTAATAGGATGGCTGGGTCACGAGGCTGCTTCCCATTGGTTCGACAACTTGCAATAAAGTTTCCTATAAAACTGTTTTGCACTTTTATACCATCCAGTCAGTTTGCAGTCGGAACAGTTTCAGCTAATAGCAAACCTCGGTTCCAGTCACGTGAACCGCCTATATTTCCGCCTATACTTTCACGACACCGCTTTTAGTTTTCTGGTAATCTTATCAGTCTGCGCCGTGAAAAGTTTTACATAATGAATGGTTCGGTCTATTAGCGACATTTTCCTTCGGACGAGAGTGTTTTTTAGTGTTCTTGCTTATTGAGGACATCTTCATTGTTGTTTCTACGACCCACCACATTTTAAAAATCCAGTGCTTTACAAACTATAGAGCTTCGAATGAAAAATTAATTGATGGTAATTATAATACCCCCGCTTGCTGTTGCATTTTTTCGTACAACCCCGTACGGCGTGATTTTGCGTATTAAACATATTTATTTCCTCTTCTTAAATTTTGTTGAAATTTAATACATCTTAAATCAAAATTCGGTAAGAAATTTCACAATAAATACAGCTATTCTGTATATTTAGAAGTAACACAGCATGATATGGAACTTTCGTACCAAATTTCGAATTCGACAAAATTTGCGATGAGATTATATGGTGTTTGATTTATAATTTGCGTAATATTTACGTTGTTTATTTTATTGTCAGTTAATGAATACGATTTCAGTTTGAATTATTTTGAATTAAATTTCACCTAAAACCTCTGCATTTTATTCAGTTTAGAAATAAATCAGTTTCGATGAAACTGAATATGTGCTTTTGTTCGAAATATTTCATTTCTGAAAATTTTCCCCAATTTTATTGCAGTTCAGAATAACAATTTAAATTTTACGACCAATAACTTGTCACATCCCAGAAGCAAAATGCCTCGAGGAAAGGTAGGAGGCAAGTATGACCGTCGTATGTCCTTCGATGATGTCAAAGACGAGCGTATGTTGGTGATGGTAGACAAGCTTTGTTGCTGGATGGGCGGTATTTTGGACGAAAAACTAAACAGAGAAACCCTCATCACTAGTATCAGGTTAGCTCAGAAATTCTAAAATTCGAAATGTTGTGTTCGAAAGTGTTAATTGTTGTTAGCAACCGATAGGTAGGAGGAATTACTAAACGTATATTGCTTTCAACGTTGTTTGACGCGGCAACCTGACCTGACGCCTTTTGTAGACCTGCAACTATTGGGAGTTTAAGCGACACTATGGTCAACAAATAACAGCTTGTTAGGAATGCTATGTTAACAAATTCTTTCAATATTTATGTTTATTTCCTTCAAAACCAATGAAATCCAGGAACGGAGTCCTGATGTGCAAATTGGCAACGGAAATCCAAGTGGCAGTGGACGATTACATGAACACTGCTGAAGATCCAGGACAACTCCCCAAAAAGCCACCTCAAAACTTTGCCACTGATTGCGGTGCCAGGTCCATGGAAGCTAGAGATAATGTTGGAAAATTCTTGCAGTGGGCCCGAGACTTGAGGGTTCCCGAGTCTTCCATCTTCTCACCCGATGATCTTCTCAAATTGAAGGTACCTTTTTCACGATTTGCATATTCTTTTAAAAACCACTGTCCACTCATAAACATAATTAATAGCTACTTTTGTGATTAAAACTTATGAGCATCTACATTTTTAGGTTTTGTTTCCATGATATTCATATCCGGAAGGAGATATATAAGGCTTCCTTGTGTACAGTTAAAACAGTACCGTTATCACAGGGTAAAATGAATGTGGTCAACACCCTCCTGGCAGTTGCTAGGAGAGCAAAGGACTGTGGAATGGCTGCCGATATTGATGCACCACCAAAGATCGCCAATGCCTTCAAGGGTCTCGAGGAGAAATTCGGCAAGAAGTTCGAACACACAGCAACGGTACGTGAATTATTGTACTCATGTTCAGTGTTGACGTGTTGAGATACTATCTATCAACTCTCAAGACTCAAAGTAGTTACCGCTGACAGAGTAATATAATTATAGATAAATCTGCTGTATTCTGCAAATATTTTCATACATACGGAAACTGAAAGGGGAGCAAAAACTGTTTTAACTTTTTAATATTGAGTACCCCCACTTTTCAGGCTTTCGGAGGAGCAAAGACAGCCCTGAAAGAAACGACCATGACCCTTACCTCTGGCTCTGCCTGGAAGATAGTCCAGCAGAAGATCGACTCCATTCTCCAGCTGCCCGGCAAGCCTTCTTACGAGATCTTCCGTAACTAAAGAATTATAGGAACCTGGCTCCGCATTATCGCAGTCTTTATCTCTCTTTCTCCTCCTCCTGTGGTCGAACATGGTAGGCCCTGTGGTCGGGGTCTTTTTTACCAGGGTCTGTAATGGCCCGCTATTTCGGACAGTGTCGCTAATTGTATAAATCCATCAGACGATCCTAGTGACTTCCTGTGTATGGCAAACGAGTATCGGTGGTTGTGTATGTCACGTGGTGCTTCTTGTGCTATGTGGTCCAAATTGTTTATAGACGATTTATTGGTTTATAAAATTGCTTCTGAAGCTCAATATGAACTTTGATTTATTTTGTACTTTGTAGAGGGCAAATGATGAAATCTGATTTTTGTGAAAATGATGAACTTAAACTATCGGTCGTTAATGTTTTCGGTAGTGGGGATTCTATCCGAACTTCAGATTAATCTAAAACTATCGCATAGCTTTAAAATGGTTGCAATGCGATCTCCATTCAGTCTTTTGAACAACCTAGGATTATCATTAATATTAAATATCACCTAAACAAGGCTAGAAGCGTTACACAGCTAATGAAAATGCACACACTTGCATCGCCTCCATTAATATATATTAATTGCTTTTAATTGCTTTCCTATGTTTCCTGGGCCCGTCAATATGCGAGACTGAACACTGCTTTACTTGAAAGTAGCTGAGGCTTAATTTACAAAATTCGATAGAACTGCTACGATGTCAACAATCGGAAATATGTTAGCAGCTATGTTAAATACATTTGCGATTTACATTATTTCTGCACTATACCAGCTTCCTTCACATACCACCTATCACCATACTTCCGTAGCTCCCAGCTTGTGAACTGCTAACAAACAGAACCCATAGAAAAGGGTAGCTCGTGTAACTACTTTCAAGGGACTGAAATAAACTTATAGCAGCAAGAGTGACGGGAGCTCGGAATAAATTGAGTAGCAGAATGGGGGAAGGTTCAAACGGCGGCATGAATATTACATTTATAAAAGGTAAAATGACTAAAAATATGGGAATTCGTGGTTGTTGAAGGTCGATTGAGCGAAGTTGATTGTTCATATTTCAACACTCAACACGTATGCTGGTAAGCAAGCATTATAGTAGGTTAGTTGACGGAGGAGCTGTGGTACCTGTTACAGGGGGAATATAGTGCACTATATTCCCCCTGTGCTGTGGTACCACAGCACAGGGGGACTATAGTGCACTATAGTCCCCCTGTGCTGTGGTACCACAGCACATGGGGAATATAGTGCACTATATTCCCCCTGTGCTGTGGTACCTGTTACAGGGGGAATATAGTGCACTATATTCCCCCTGTGCTGTGGTACCACAGCACAGGGGGACTATAGTGCACTATAGTCCCCCTGTGCTGTGGTACCTGTAAGCTATGTGAGCTGTGTCTGAGTAGACATACTGCCTAGAAAGTCACTCCACAGTTACTTCAAGGAACACCAGGTATATATAAATTATAAAATACAGCATTCTGTGATTACATTGATTGGATGGAAGCGTTCTTTCAATTTTGCCAAGGGAAAATGCTATGCCCCATAGTATCCAGATACAACTTTTTACTAATGTGTCCGCAAGAATATTCCACACACTTTAAGCTATATAAAGCCGATATAAAAGCCGGACAGATTATGATATAATTAGCGTTCTAAAGTTCCATAAAAATTGAAACACAGCAGCAGTGAGCAGGGCGCTTGCGGGGGACAAACTAACAGTGCACAAATTGAGAAATTTCACAAGAAGCTGCTTATAAATTATATAAATTATGTTGTGTTACAACATTGTGTGCCTCGAATTAAAATATATCGCACTACTTCGTCAACTAGGTAATTTTAACATTGTACGATCAAATTGTGCTAAAAATATCAAACTTATTACGACTTTAGTATCCGCATACACAGAACTGGAGTGATAGCGATACATCAACATGTTGATTTATGTTGATCATTCCAGTTTTATAATTGCTCATATCAAGGATGTTCAAAAAATGTTTTTTTTATTAAATACTTTTCAAATTTTACAGAGTACAGCAATAGATGAATAAAAAATAGAATCGTTCAAAATATCGCCCCCATCTGTAAAATATGATGGGCACCCAAACACGGTAAACACATAGTGAACTATGTCCGCAGTAACTTGGACCCATTACATCGAATTAATCTAAATCCAACAAGAATTGCGCCGTTTAGCGGACGCTAGATTTCCATCGACCGTACTCGTAGGCATTGCCTTTTAAAATTTAAAATTACAATTTACAAAAGCCATGTGAAGGAATGGTTGAAATCCGTATTAGGTAATCATAATGTAACTCATAATAATATTTACGGTCCATTTCGTATAACAAATTAATCGCTCGACAATAATGTTCAACATGATATCAGTTACCTGAGGACCCCAGGCTATTATGTTCATTAACATATAGCCGAATATAGATTTGGCGGAATGACAGGCTGAGCGCGGCCCAGTAAGATATCAGCATCATAATTTGTTCAACAAAGGATGATCATGATGATTAATTACTCTGCACTCGACTGTCACGTAACTTTTTCAACTCGTTCTCCAGCTGGCCCTGAACGACTATTCGAAACCCTAACCTATTATTTGATATATTAATTCCAATTTTAGAACAATCTCGAAGATCGACTGTAAAGTGATTAAGCACGCTCGTTCAACAATATAACGGATTATTAATAATTTTCATTTAACTGATTGGGATCTGAGTTCTGACACATGTAATTTTGCAATGATCTTTCTAATTTCTAATTTCTAATTTCTAATAGCATTATCGGGAGCCAAGTCGGTTGTTGCACCAATAACTCACAACAAAACGTGAAATTAGTATGTTATACTTGTAGTTGTACTTGTAGCGCATCAATGATCAACATTATTTATATTAAAATCCATTTAAAACAACAGAATAAATTATTGTAATTACATACGTACGCTGACCCATGACCGTAACTGTTATGAAAACTTCAGTCAGCTTGGCGCCGCGCATTTGAAAGTGTAATACAATCGTCGAATCGTGCAAACGTGTGCGGAGGGTAACCGTGGAGATGACACCATTACTGCTCCGCGCGCAGAGAAGATGCATTTAAATGGTTATGCGGAGGGTAATGCATGTTTTCCTTTGTGACACAATTCATGACTCACGTGACACGAAAAACATACCTACCCACTATACCCGTCCTCAATTCCTACCACTTCTAACCATCTATTGCCTTTTTAAGGCGATGGAAAAAATTTATGAAAAACTATTTAATAACAAACAAATCCATGGTGAATAACTGTGGATATATAGTCAAAATTGGTATTTCAATACGTCAAATTCCAGATACATTAGATACAGGTCTGATATGGTCATTAATGTGTGAGAAGGTGTGCGGGTGAAGTGTGATATGATGTTGAAAGTATAGGAAGGAGGATAAAAAATTAATAAAACAAAAATATTAATAATATGGGGAGCAAAGAGACTAGGCTAGGCTGTTGTTTCACTATCCAATAAACATTTCCATAGATGCTTAGTGACCTCAGCTTTGAAAAGACTAGTAGACACAATCTGTCTTACCTGTAAAGGGAGTCCATTCCACAGTATATGAGTTCTGTAGAAAAATGATTTTGCCAGTGGGCTATTTGAGGTACATATTAAGGTGTGTGAATTCTGACTTAACTTAGGTAAAATTTATGACACAATAGACAGACTGTCGAGGTGGCAACGTCTTAGTCGAGAAGTGCCCTGATATAAAGAGAGATAGTGAGGCAGCGATACAGGAATTAAATTGTTCAGAACTTTGTGGAAAAAAATAAGATCATTCAAGTCAAACTTTTGAGACAAAGGGAGAATGTCGACAAGCTTGCACTTTTTGACATATTGCTCAGGTGGATAACTGCGGCCCTCTTCAGACAGAATCCATTTAATAGCTCTCTTTTGGAGACTTTCTAATTTATCACTAAGTGATTTATTACAAGGGCGCCAGATTATGGAACAATTTTCGAATTGGCTACGAACGAGGGAGAGGTAAAGCGCCCGGCGACGTTTCAGATCAATGACAATATGGCCATCTCTTCTGACCATACCAAGTTGTTGGCAGGCCTTAGTATAAATTCTGTCGCACTGACTATTCCAACTTAGCTTAGGAGTAACATCGACTCCAAGATCTTTTTCTAACTCTACATACACAAGAGGAGAGCCATCAAGATTATATGCGAATGGAGGAGATAAAGATGGCTTTCCTGAAACAATAAGCACTTTACATTTTGCTGGATGGAATCGCATTTTGTTTCTAAGTGCCCAGTCAGAGAGATAGTCTATATCCATTTGTAAATTGGTATTATCAGAAGATGAATGTATTTTACGCCAGATTTTTGTATCATCGGCATACAAAACAATATCAGTATTATCCGAAAGGCCAAGAGGAATATCATTGATAAACAATACAAAAAGTAAATGTTTAATGTTCAGCTCGACAAAATACTGGTGGAAATTATTTCGTAGGCCATAAAATTACCTCTCCAGATCCAGTCTTATCCATACATTTGACATTATAACTCACTTATAGCTGCGTAGCTCTGATACATCGAATTAGATCCTGTAAGACTGTCCTCCCGCCTCCAGCTCGTCATTTTTGAGATTGAAGCAAATGTTGTTTAATGTTCAGCTCGACAAAATCACATTTGGTTAAATATATAACAATACTCAATAGAGATAATAGCAATAACATTGTCTCATTTAACAATCGGTCCTTTGGGACGACTTTGGACAAGACTGCAAGTTTGGTTGGTACAGGTAGAGATTTACAGAAACAAGTTATTGATGGGTCAGAAGGCAAAACACGTTATATACATGGAGGGGGATTATTTAAAATCGTTTAAAATCGTTATAAACACATTATAAACACATTGGTTCGGTAGTAGAAACTGGACGTAAATTGAACTGTGGGAAGTTGGCTGTTTTTAGTTTTATGACTAATATTGAAACTGCTGCATTAACAAGAAACTGTACTAAATTTTGTACGTGACAACAAGAGCCATTTTATATTTGATAATGAGTTATTATTGAAAGGGATTATAGACAATAGGATCATTTTAAATGCCATCTAATAAATATTAAATCAAGTTTTTCAGCAATTCGTTCGTCAGACTGCGGGAAATAAAAATCTTTTGACAATGAGATGTGGTCACAACATATTCTATTCCATTGTTATTCATGAATTCTTTACAACAAACCATGAAACTGCATTTTTCTGGACCTATGAAACAATGCAATAACCTGAGCTGTTACATGTCAAATTGCTGAATTATTCCTGATCTAACAGAATTGCTCAGATCCCGAAAATAGTCTCATTTGTGAACTATGTGTGTTACCTAGTATGTAGAATATGTGAACCATGTGTGTTACCTTGTATGTAGAATATGTGAACTATGTGTGTTACCTAGTATGTAGAATATGTGAACTATGTGTGTTACCTAGTATGTAGAATATGTGAACTATGTGTGTTACCTACTAGTATGTACAATATGTGAACTATTTGTGTTAGCTAGTATGTAGAATATGTGAACTATGTGTGTTACCTAATATGTAGAATATGTGAACTATGTGTGTTACCTTGTATGTAGAATATGTGAACTATATGTGTCACTGATAGTTGGATATTATCCGGTTTGCAGAGACAAGGACAAATGAAACAAGGAAGTTAGGAGTAAGGGCAAATGTTCGGCGTCAACGCCATCTTCAGGCTCAAATTATTTGTTATATAGTAGTGTTGAAAGTGTTAAATACTTTCAATCATGAGACTAATAAACAGCGAACTACTCCGTTATTTGATATACCTTAGTTCCCAAAAATTTGTGTGCCATTATATTGAGCACAATTTATTTGAGCCCGAAAAATTTGGGCAGAAAATTTGAACTCATTTGGGCGACCGAAAATTTGGGCACAAATTCTTCGAAAAATGAACGATTTTCCGCTTAAATTTCAGTTAGATATTTGCCTTAGTTAATTATTATTCCTTATTATTCCAGTCATTTTGCTTTCAATTTTAAGCCTGTAGGTGGTAGTCTGAGTTGTTTCACATTATGAAATTTACGATCCGCCCAGTAACTACTAAAAAAATACAGTGATGATGGCACAGTACAAAATGATAAATATACAATAGTGATATTTAGTCTCTCAATCAGATAGTTTAGTCTACTTACACTCAGTTTTTCAGTTTTAATACTTTCAACACTACTATATAACAAATAATTTGAGCTAAGTTCTCTACCTCGACATGAAACTGTTTATTCTACTCGCACTCTTCGGGATGCTGACTTTTGTCAACTGCAACGAAGCAGGAGGTGACGGTGCAGCTGAAGGTGACGGTGCAGCTGAAGGTGACGGTGCAGCTGAAGGTGACGGTGCAGCTGAAGGAGACGGTGCAGCTGAAGGTGACGGTGCAGCTGAAGGTGACGATGCAGCCGGAGGAGACGATGCAGCCGGAGGTGACGATGCAGCCGAAGGTGACGATGCAGCAAAAGACGGAGCAGTTTCGATGCAGCTTGCCCTCCTCGCCCTCTTCCCTGCTGTGGCCCTAGTTTTCTAGACCAGTTTCAGTTTTACTGAGTTGAGGACTTATTTATGCTGAAAGTACGATTGTTTTGATAAATTGTTTCTTGCAAGTGATTGTGAAGTTGTTTTAATCATTCTTTAATTTTTACCATTTCTATTCCCACTCATAAGAAAAATTTACGACTCAGCATATCTTATCATACCCCTTTCACATACAATTATCATTATGACGCCTCACCAGATGGTCGAAAGGTTTGACCAGTGTCCAGTTCTTTGAGAAAATCCTCCTTCCCCACATAGAATCAGTTCGAGCCTCCATCAACAACCCTGAGCAGAAAGCGCTACTGATATCAGATGTGTTTCGGGCCCAACACACACAGACACTAAAAGATCTGATGACAGCCAACAACTGCATCCTACAGAAAGTTCCAGCTAATATGACCCATCATCTACAGCCCCTGGACATATCTATCAATGGACTGGCTAAGAAATTCATGCGCAATAAGTACGAAGATTGGTACGCGAAAAACATAGTGTGTCAGCTCAATGGAGGAGTTTCGTCAGACAATGTGAAAATTGATACCCGCTTGACAGTGATCCGTGAAGTACACGCTCGTTGGATCAACGAACCTTTTTGTATATTTAAAAGGGAGGCCAGATGACATAGGGAAAGGCTTTGAGAAGTCGGGTATAACTGATGCTTGTAGATCAGACTTTACGGTTGATGATAATCCATTTGCAGATCTTGTTTAAATCTCTAGCTATCCGTACCTCTAGCCATTTTTTATTAGTAGCTGTTAGCTATTCCAGTTATTTCTATTCATTTAAAATATAAGCCTTTTTACTTGGTCAAGCCATGAATGACAGATTAGAAAACTAAAATTTCAAATATTATTTCACTTGGATATGAAGAAAAAGCCATCTTTCTATAGATTTCAGGGCCACAGGCCAAATGCCAAAAGTTTGGTTAGCAAAAAATTTAGCAGACGGAAAAGATTTATGCAATTAATTTGGTCTGCAAAAAATTTGGGCGAGAGGCCCGCTCAAATTTTTTGTCGCCCAAATTTTTGGGAATTAAGGTATGTGTTAACTGTTACCTAGTATGTAGAATATGTGAACTATGTGTGTTAGGTAGTATGTAGAATATGTGAACAATACTTAATTAAAATCTAAAATCACATCAGTCATTACATGTCCTCAATAAATTCAATACGGATCTTAGTTAGTTAGTTTAGTCGCACTTAAACTTCTGTTCAATATTCTGTTTAAGATTTGATCTATTTATTTTATACATTTATGATTATGTAATAAAGTTATTATATTCGTAAACATTGACTGGCTAATAAACCAGTCCCCAAACAAGTTTCTTTTGTGAGTGAGGGACTGAGGGTGTTTCAACAAAATGAGGATTCTTGTACACTACGGGTTCGGGCTCCAGTGTTAACGCCGGGTTGATCTTCAGAGATGATCTTCTGCACACTCCATATAGAACAGCTCCGGCTCCAAGACTAAATACCAGCCCCGTCATTATGCAGAATATGAGCAGCGATTTGCTGAACCCTGATCAATTTCTATGTGAGTTATGTTATCCACATAATTTCATAAATTAAGATAATGTGACTTTTTAACCGTCTGATGGTTTTATCTGTTGAACTTGAATTGAATAGTAGATTATTTCGGTATAGTTTAATTCCATGTCATTCTCAATAATGGTCCCATCACAACGCACTGTAAGTGTACGCGCCAAATAAACGATCTTGTTGCGCTGCCAGAGATAACCCAGCTAAGATTAGAAAATTATCATAATTACCATACTAATATTAGAAAAAATAACTGAATAACCAAGTTAAAATTAGGAAATATCAGAATATATCGATATCCACCATGTGCACGCGTTATGTATTAAAACAAAGTTGAAGTAACAGAAATAAGGTACGAACTTGGCAAAGAATCTGGGGCCTCATTCTGTATCAAGCACAGAGGTCCAGAGTATCCGGGAATGCAGATATCACAGAGCTGACCAGTCCAGTGTCCCACACAGTGCAACATTCCTTCCTTGTCACACTCCGCTCTTCCTGGCTCTCTTTTGCACGTGCAGTTCGGTCCAGAATACATTTCCTTACATCTGCGGTGGAAATGTATTTTAAGATTCAGTCAGATGGTCGAATTAAAGCTAAGATAAATTTAAAATGTCTGAACGAGACCTTGTATTCAGGAATCTTCAGAAAAAGGTGATGTTGTTTTTACCTATCACAGTTAAGACCGTTCCAGTTAGAAGTACAAGTTTTGTCGCCCTGATCTGTACATTTGTATCTCTCTGTGTCTGTACACTCTACTGAACAATCTTCTTCAAACCAACCTTCCTTACAATCCGTACAGTTTGTTCCTGGGGACAGGGGAATGGAGGTCGTGCAGTTAACTAAAGTCTACCGTTGGATCATGATTTTAAATATAATTCTCTCTAAACAATGAAGCTAGCACGTCATTGCTGTATGAAAAAGTGAAGAAGAAATTGAAATCAACGATTATTGGAAAGCGTACCAGTTCTCTTTCCGTTGCAGATGTGACTTCCATGGTCATCACAGGTCCACAATGTACTGTTGAGATCACAATAAAGATCACATCCACTCCCATACCACCCTGTCTCACAAAGAGAACAGTTCTGCCCTGTAAAGTGTCCCAAACATTCCTTCTCCCCAGTATCACTACAGTCCCAAGCTGAGCTGGCTTGACAGAATGTGTCACAGTTAGCACCGTAATAGTTTTGTGAACAGGTATCACATTCTGAACCTATCCAGTGAGTTTCACAAACTTTCTCTCCGGTTGTTGAGTTGCAAGTGTATTGATTGGGAACTGCCGTGCAATTTACGGAACAGTTCACACCAAACTGCCCTGAAATTTTGTATTCAGAAGTCGGATTTTAATAAATTTTATCACAATGAAAAATTCCTTTAGCCGCAAATATGTTGATGAGATGCAAATCAGTCATATCTCTGACAAATAGTCATCAATGATCAATGCTTTTGCGTATGAAAACAAGGCTTAAACTCGAACTAGCCACTAGCAAAGGATAATTAGATTGATGAAAGAAATGTATGTCTATTAAATGTATGTCTATTAAATGTATGTCTATTAAATGTATGTCTATTAAATGTTTGTCTATTTTTTAGTTTTTGTTACGTGTTGATAATCTAGCTCTCTTATCTCTATTTTATCGCTACATTATAACTGCCATTGTGCGGGTACTGTGTTTTTACTTTATACAAGTACAAGTACACGATGGATGATGATGAAATGGATATTCTTCAAAGATTGTCAAATTACTCTTCCTACATTACCGATAACCATCAGGTCTATAACTCTTGGGTCACTGAACTCTCGGAAGCTATGAGCTGTGACCATGAAAATGAGTTTTCAGCTGAAACGTTCAAAAAGCCAGTGAAGGCAGTTTTAGTCAAACATTTGTATAATGCGTATCGGACTACCAGTGATCATGTAGAGACGTTTCTGGAAATCAAGAAAGATATGGAGGAGTTGAAGAGCGATCTTATCCGATCGCAAAGTACTGTTATCAAGCTGCAGGATGAACTTCTGGAAAGCAAATCGAAGCAATTGGAATCCGTGCACTCCACCGTCAAGACCACCGTCCAGGACACTGTTCAAGCTGGGATAATCACATTCAGTCAAGCTGTTTCGAAAGCCGCACCTGTACTCACAGAAGAGAGCTTGAAAAAGGTTGTACAGAATGTTATATCAGAAGAGGATCGAACTAAGAATGTGTTAATATTTGGTTTCGAGGAGACTAGTGAAGAGAATCTGAATCATGAAGTTGGCGAGATGTTTCAGCAGATTGAAGAAAAGCCACACTTCGAAGCTGTCCGGGTTGGGAAGAAGTCAGCTGAAAAGATTAGACCAGTTAAAGTTTCTTTTGAAAATTCAAGTACAGTCCATCAGATATTAGTGAAAGCCAAAGAACTGAGACTGATTTCACGTCATAAAACTGTTTTCATTTCTCCGGACCGATCACCTGAGGAACGAACTATCCATCAGCAGTTGGTCTTAGAGATGAAACAGATTGCCAAAGAAGACACAGATAAACATTATTATATCAGAAGTGGTAAAATTTGTTGTAAGGACAAGATAGTGGAGTGAACGATTTATAATAATGTTTAATGATATACATCCTTAAGTTGTTTTTTTACCGTTGCTATGCTAACTTTTAATGTCAATAAGTAATTTAGTTTTGGATTTTTTTATATCATACTCATTAACTGAATATCTTAGTTTGGGGTATATTCATAGGCCAGCCGCTTTGACATCGGCAATCTTTATTTTTATTTGGATTGTTGATATAAGCGGGATAAAAATGCTTTATTTCATTTCATTTCATTTCAAATGTATGTCTATTAAAGCCAACCTGACGGGCAGGGAGTTTGAACACCACATTTATCTCCGGTCCATCTTCCCAAACAGACCCTGGTCCCGTTTTGAGAGCAGTTGTAGTGAGATGTAGGAACACAGTGGACATTGCAACTCGAGTTGTAGTAGTTCGGTTTACAAATGTGGTCACCTGGATATAGCGGGATTCAACGCGAACATTGTTCCGGGTTTTTAGAATGAGTCACTAAATTGAAAAGGAGAGAATTGAAAATGTGGTATTTTAAAACGTGCTCTCACCGTAACTATCACAAGTAAAATTGTTGATAGGTTGACAGA